GTGAGAGCCTCAGGTTTTTAAGAGTTCAACTCAAGATTGTTTCACCTGGTAGCAGAGAAACTCTGGAAGAATCTGTGTCCAGGTCTAATACTGAATAATAACATTGCACATTCAGTTTCTGGCAATATTCTTTGTTTTTTGAAGTTAGTCACTTGTACTTTTTATGTGATGCAACAGGAAGACAATGGTATATTCCATCCACAGTACAGGGTGACATCTATCACTAGTGATCTGTGCTAGACTGTTCACACTGTGACTGGTGCTGTTAAATGTAACGTGCGATTTTAGATGATCGAATACAAATGTTTACCTTCAATAAATAATCTCATTTGACAAAAGAAATCCACAAGTGCTGACACAATTACCATTTTTTGTTTTTGTAGTAGGTAAATCTGTCTGAAAGAAATCTCAAATTTTCTGAGTCTATTTGCTAGAACAAGACACGAGAACAGAATGTGATTATCACATTTTCTTTTCCAATTTCAACATTAGGAACAAAAGGTGTTCTTTGCTGGAATGAAGTTGAAATTGTAACCAAGGAAATCTGTGCCCTAGAGAAGATGTGAAAACTACAGGGAAGAATGGCTGGAAAGAAAAAAAGGGAAACAAATCCCTTTAGCTTGTGCTGCTGGATCGAAAGCCAACTGTGATACCACATACTCTTTATTTTCAATATAATGAAATGTATGTAACACTCCTAAAATCAAGCTTTACAAAATTAACAGTTTGGCATGTAGTTAATTAAACTAAAACAAATACCACTTTTGACGTCCTATGAAAAGTGAAGAAGATTCAAGGGGGCTGTATGTACTCTTTCATACTGACAGATGTATATGTGGAGCAACGTGAATTAAACTAATCAGTGTTATTTCCCATTACCTCTAAAATCAAGGTGTGCCTGTGCTTGGTAAATTGCAATTCAAATGAGGGAGTCGGCAAGTGGAAGAAAATTATCTATCTGCTTTACCATGAAGTGAAAGCCCTTGAGAGGACCATCAATTGGAGCTGCAGGAATCATCTAATGCTCTCTGAGATTAAGAAGAAGTTGGAAGAGTTTGTAGTAAACATGCCCTCGTTTTCTAGAATCACCAGAGTGTCCTTTAAGTTGCAGTAAAAAAAATGCATTATTGACTTTAGCCAAGGTTTTTGTTGATTATGGCTAAATTGCTCATCTCTGCTGCCTCCAGATAATATGGGCAAACAATGGTCCTAACCACACCTCATTTTAAGAACAACTAGCGAGACGAATGTTGACAACAGTGCTTTGTGTTTCCTGAACAAAAATGTACCTTTCCATTTACTCATTTCCACATCCACTGTCACAATACCAGCATATCCCAGACTGTGTGCCTGCTGTCCTCACTACTCTGGTCAAAAATCCAGGCCATCCCTTTATAAACCAATTCAGCCTGAGGTAAAAGGAGGCTGCAGCGTTAATTATGATGTTAAATATCCCATCAAGGTGATGTTTTGACATTGGCAATAGGGTGGGAAGCTGTCTGTTGGCTATGATGTGAGATACAAAGCAGTTGGCGAGGCAAGAAACGGTAGCGTTCTGTAGACATGACTGCAGCCTGGTAGCTGTTGCCTTGGGCATGCAATTGGGTGACTCGGAGGACACATTATGCAGCACCGGCATCGTTATTCTTTTCTTTCACAAACAATTCAACAGCTGAATTAGCTGCCATCTTGTCAACTGGCAGTGAAAAACGCCTGTGAGCCATGCAACAAAAAAAAAAAGGACTAAGAAAAGATTGCGCAACATTTCTCCTGTCACATCTGAGAACAACAGACAACATTTACTTAAACATAGAGAATAATTAGACATTAATAGTTTTACAATCCATCTAAAGCATGAATCTTTATATTTTCATGGAGCAAAATAGAAAACCTAAATGGTCTTAATCATGAATGAATGAATGAAGACACTCCATATGAACTGGATCCGTGGTATGATGCCCTCTGAATGAACCCAGAGCTGTGGCCCAGGTAATGGGCCTTGGGTTTTCTGCGCCTCCTTGGGTGAAGTGGCAGGAATGAGGGAGGGAGGTAGAGAGTAGGGCTGTGAGAGACAGGGAGCCAAGAAATTGTGAAAGTGCTATCCATGCAGACATCCCTCATCCTGTTTACTCTTTCATCAAAAGCAGCATGGTCTCCCATCTCCCACCCTGTGATTTACTGAACAGCTGCCCTGGCCATCAAAATCTCAGCTTATAAACAGCCACTTCTTTAAACACCTGATTCAGAAACATATATTTAGCTCTCAGAAAGCCTTTTGCATAACTTTGGCCATAGTTCCAAATAGTACATCCCATTCCCTGCATCCACTCCTGGTTATATCTGATTTATCTGAACAGGCATTTCTCAGCTCTGGGCAAACAGCAAAGAGGGATGGGATGAAAAGAGCGAGGGAGGGTTTGCCCGGAAAAAGCCCTTTAAACTGCAGATACCATAACAGCTCCAGATAGGCCTCCCCCTGCAGGTAATGATCTAGGATAACTTTAACCTTCAAGTGTCCTGACCTTCACAGAAGAGGAAGGCAAAGCCAAAAAACCCTGAAATGACCTGGCTGCAGTAAGTGCAAATTTGGTACATTTCTTCAGTATCAGCACAGAAAATGGTCCTCTCCTCTGCTAGATACACTGCGCTTTCATTGTGAGTCTGTGTCATATCTGCAGACATGATTGACTCTGAGATCAATTAGCTTAATAGCTGCCTTGCTGAGGTGCTTCAGGTGAGAACTGGCTGCCAATGTCACAAATTAATCACCTGATTTAGGCTAATTAATTAAACCTCTGGTGGGGGCTGATAAAGACTCTCCCAGGAGCATCTAAATTGGTGGTCCACATCTGTGACATTTGGTTTTGTAGCTAATGACTACAGCTGATAGTAATATATAAGGGTCTAATGTGTGCTGCCATCCTTAAAAAGAGAAGCGAGGTCTCTCTGGATTTTGACAATTTGTCAATTAGATGATTAATGCCTGGATATTATCCTCCTTGGCTTGTCTTTGAATTTGAATTATTTATTCACCTAGTTACCTTTAACTGTTTAAGTAATTTAAACATTATATTGCTTTAATGACCCATTCATTTATCATTACTAGATAACAGATGATAGCCTTAGAACATATCCTTAATAATCTACACCAAGATGTGCTCATTAGTTATGTCTGAACATGTGATTAAATGAAATAACAAGAGACAATAAAACAGTTTCTGATCTTAATTATTTGGGGATTTGTTTACAAAATTACCAGATGTTAAATATGCTCATAGTGCAATGAAAGCCTCAGTGACTGAGATGTACTGCACTATATTAGTCTGTTTTATTATGTAACTACATTCCCACTGCTGAACTGAAAAATGTGAAACAACTACTACAAGTCCAATGACAAAGTCTTCAGTCATAGCTGCATATGGTTACTGTGGGCTGAAATATTTTGGGTGGAAAATGTAACTGTTGACTCTGAATAGTATATCTCTACTTATATAACCACTAGCTACTGGCTTTGCAGGACAAATGAGAAACTGCAGTGACTTCAAGACTTAGACATGCCCTGAGGCCGACTGTATTGATGACGGCCATTAGAGGCCCTCATCCCTCCCGAGGGGGTCATCTCCCTGTGAGAAGCAAAAGTTTACCCACACAGCAGGGATGCTATCAGGGATGTTCTAATGAGGGACAAGCACCACCTTGTGTTACACATATGTACTACAAAGATATACATAAGTTTAATGTATGGCAACAAAAACAAACTATTATAATTCATAGGCTTACTGCTTCAGTTCGAAACATTTGCATTAGTCACGTTTTTGCGGCAAGAAGAGGCAGTGTCACACAGAGAAGGCATCTACTTTGGTTTGCACTGACGGTGAAAATTACTACTTTCAGAGGATATGTTGTTGTATAAGCCGCATACAGTACCTCCACACTTTTGTTTGTCGTACTCTAGATTCTGAACATCTCTCATTAATGTTGAAGGTGCCTTTATTAGCTCATCTCATCCCCCTTATTCTTAGCAGGTGGAAGCAACAGGGCATTTTACAGATTACATGTTAAACCTGCTTACCTCCGATTTGCTCAGGTAACAACCTCATTAGTCTGCCCCCCTGCCCATTCCCAGCCCTCTATTCACCCTGAGGCACCTGCCGTTTGCTACAGGTGGGCATGTAATTGCTCTGTGGCGTGGTCATGTTCTGAGTAGTTAGGAGAGAGCCGACGTGCTAATGAGGCCGCTCAGTGTGACGCTTCTCCACTGCTGAGAAGTATGTGTGAGCAGGCAGGTGTGCGACACCACATACATCTGAAATATTGTTGTAATACAACACAGCTGCTTGCTGCTGCGTCACAGACTGACTGTCTGTGTCTCGCCCCTCGTTTCTCCACAAGATTGAGTGTGCATGAGTCAAATAGGAGAATGCCAGTGCACTTGGGAGAGATTCTGATTGACTTTGGTTTTATTGAAGCATAGGACGTGAGTGCATGGTTGTTGTTTTTAAATGCAGTCATTATCAGCATGCTCATGTGATTACATGCACACAAAGCAATTGTGTATGCAATTTTAAGTGGTTGGCAAAATAGTGAATTATAGTATTAATTGTGGTATAAATCATTTAAAACTTTTTACAAGCACTTAGTTATAACATCTATCCACCAAAATTATTTACCAACATGTGGCATGATGATGGTACATATTTCCATATTTCATCTCCTGGCAAGGACTCAAACCCACTATCTTTTTTTCTTATCTAGCTGATATCCAAGCTATCGAGGGCCTTAGTATGCAAGATCATCTGCCCAGGGACAACAGATGGAAATTAGCTAGTAAGCTCTGGCACAAAGCATTTTTTCTCTTGTGAGACTAATATTATTTTGTACACTTTCCCTGATTCAAATAAACTAATAAACTAAATTAAAACTAAACTAAATTTGCCCATATTGTTCATGTTGTGTCGTAATTCACCAAGAGTGGTATGAAAGTCTTTTTGAACACTCACTAGTGGTGCACTGTTTTTCAGTGGCCTCGCCCTGAGTGCTGCTCGTGGTTGGCTCCTCTCCTGCAAAGTGATGCTTCCTGGTTGCAACAGTGGGAGCTGGCGTCGCCTGAGCTGGCGTCTCGAGGCCTGCAGTGACCACAGAGGATCGGTTACAGACAACAGATACAATTCAGTGTGTGCCTGAGCAATTGTGTGTGTGTTAAAATAAAAGTTGCTCCTGAAAGACACTGCTGGCAGATTGGAGAGTCGTTCTTGATGTATGGATAACCAGTAAGAGGAATATTATAGGTACTGTGAAGACTCACCAACTTGTGTTATGGTGACTGACTCACAACCACAAATACTGACGTGTGTGAAACTTAGACTTTCACTTTCACACGAAAAGCTAAAGTGTGACTGGAATGTTAAACAGAAGTGGAGTACAGGCACATGCAAGTGCCTGAAAATGAACCTCTTCAACATTTGACATCAAGAGATAATTAAGTTTTTGGCCAAACTGATCACAGCTCTTTCATCTTGTCACAGGGGTAAAAAGCCTCCGGATGCCCTTTTTCGTTTTGAAAACTGCTGCAATTGGATATCATGCAGAACTTGCCTAATTAATAGCTTCATAGCAGGACCTTGACTGGAAGATGAAATATTTATACCCCTGTATTCCTCCTCTCAGGCAGATGACTTATGCTCCTGCAATATTCATTTAGCATCCTGTGCTTTCAGTTTGCCAAAATAGGAAATCAAAAGCAACAGAATGACTTCTGAAAGCTGCTTCCTCCATGATAAGTTTCCCGGGTGACATGGAAGAGCCAGACCGCCATGGCTTAAGTCATAAGTCAACGGGCCTTCAGGGGGGTAAGGCTTTTGACACTGAAGAGCATGATTTTGAAAGAAGAAGGAAACAAAAGTAGACCTCCTTGTGAAGTTTCTTCAATGCATTCACAAGCTTTAAAATGTGTATCAAAATCAAACCCAAAACAGATTGTGACAGCATGGAAGAGAAAAGGGTAATACTGTGTGACAGTGTTTCATCTCTTTGAATAGGGAAGGATAAATGATAATGTAGGGAAGTACTGTGTACTCAGACGTAGCAGAATGGTTTGATTCTCTTATGGCTGTGAATTAAAAAAAACATGAAGTGCACGGAAGGACATGTCTTCATGGTTATCAAATAAATATAGAGCCAAAGTAGAGCTGATATGTATTTTTGATTCAATAGTTAGATGTTTTAGATGTTTTCTATAATTCACTTTGATTGTAACTTTTCAAATCTAATCTTTTCTCAACTGGTGCAGAGACTGTGCTCATTGTAAGTCAGTGTGTTTGCTAACCTATTCCCATGTGGGCAAGAAAAGCAATAGGAGTATTAGCATATTCATGCATACCATTTTACTCGATAATTGGCCACTTAAATGAAAGGCAATACTTAAAAGCTTGAGTGTATCGTTTAACTACATCGTATATGTGTGTTGCTATGTACAATATGCTCATTTAGATTTAGATTTAGACTAAATCCACAGAGCATTGGCTTGGGGCTGTTTGGTCAGATGCAGAGAGCCAGGCAGACAGCTAGCACAGAAGGTAGTGTCTGGGAAAACTGGAGCCTCGGGCATCGCTCCTTTCTGTACCAATACTCAACATTAAGAGCTGACTGCTCCATCAAACACAACTGGGCAGCCCAACAGATTTTATTTCTCCCTGAAAGCAGGTTTCTGTTCTTTGAAATAAACTATCAAAGACTTTCTCCAAAAAAGAAATAGGGAGAGAATGCAGGCTGGAACTAAACAGCAAACTTGGACTGGGAAGTCTTTTAAATATTCCTCTAAAGAAGTCTATTTACTGAAAACAACAGATGTTGCTTTTCAGTCTTCTCTCAAAATTATATTATGGTACATTTCATCCTAAAATATATATATATAAGAGCGAACAAATAATGTAATAAGTATCTGGAGAGATTAAAGTGTATGTTAGAAAAACTGTGCTTTTCAAAGATGCCTTGAAATAATGGAGTTTTTAAAAGGTTAAAAAGTTATACTCCTTTACATAGAAATGTGTGAGGTTATTTTATAGATTTATAGATTTCCTGATGTATTTCGATAACTGAAAAATATCCTCTTCCATTTACTCTGTTACAAATATGGTCTTACCCCTCTTCTTGTACGCCTCTTTGATCTCATCACACATGCGGTCGAATTCAGGGTCCAGCTCGGAAGCAAATATAGCATGAGCTGTGTCCTTTAAACTGCATGCTCTGTGCCTGATCACCTTGTCTGAAAAAAAGGAGACAGTGAAATGTAAGACTTTTATTATATGAAACAACATTTATTTTTTTCTTTGGACACATGTGGGCATAATCATCTAAGCATGTCCTCTGTAACACAGAGGTTCAAACAGTGTCTGACTTTAAATCAAGAATTTTTTATATTCAGTAAGACCGGTTCTCAACTGGTGGGTCACGGCCCAAAAGTGGGTCGCAGAGCTGTTTTCAGTGGGTCGTGAATGTGTGCTGAAAAGATATTGTGTCGTAAAGTCTATTCAAGGGCTTTCTTAAACATGTGTGTTTTGTTCTTTTTGTCTGATTTCATGTCTTTGTTCTGTCACGTTTTGTACCATCTGAGGGTCCAAACTGCACAATTTTTCATTAAATAAATCTGATTGGTTGAAAAATACCCAAATAATTTGGGTCTTGATTTCATTAAAAAGAGTTGGGGGTGGGTCCTAAGCTAGACCAGTTAAGAACCACTGCATTAAGATATCACTTTATTATTCTCCCGCTAACAACGTTGAGGCAGCTGGAGCAGTGTGCAGCTCGATTCATGTTTTCCACACCCTATCATGCATGTAAGACAAAGAGCTGACAGCAAGCCCACCCCACTCCACTGTATCTGTGAGAAAAAGGATTGCAGCCTTTTCTCACAGACTGAACAAAAGGACACGCTATGGTGAGAAATTTTATCAGCACTTTTATCAGATATCAGCACTTCACCCCTTTAAAACAAAGGTGGGCACATACACCCAGAGGCATATACTGGCTATCTGAAATCTGTTATAAATATACTCATTCCTTCTGACATAAATACATCTTTCTATTTTATAACTCTTACACTTCTATCTCCTTGGATGTTCACTGAATCATTAAATCCTCCTCTTCCCAGCTCCTGCATCCACGGAGGGGAAATAAACACTGAGCTTAAGAGGCAGACTAAAAGCATAGCCACAGTAAACAGGCAGCCTTCTCATTACGGCGGCAGAGGAAGAACAGTTCAGGCTGGAGGTGGCAGAGGGGTCACAATCTGCCAGCTTCCTTTGTCTAATTGGAAGCTGGCTTACTAATTGCAATGGAGGAGGTTTGTGTGTGTTTGAGTGAGCGTGTATGTGTGTGTGTGTGTGTGTATTAGCTGCCTGTCAGAGAAAGCTGTGTCAAATGCCAGGGAGATGCAGACAGCTCACCAGCACATGTATGGGCCCTGCCTGACCTGCCCATCTAGAACAGACAAGATGCACCGACACACCACGTTGTTTCCTCATCGTCAAACGATCGTTATCACCATTTCCCTCAAGCAACAATGAATTGCGACATTGAGCCTCATTGTAGTGCACCAAGATATCAGCCTTCTTATCATAGAGTAATTATTTAGCAAGGTGAGGAGGCAAAAGACAAGGCTGCCGACATAATTGTTCATAAGGTGTGATAAAGATAGCATGAAGGGCAAGGAGAAATAGAGGACTGAGGGATAATGAGGTTTTTTCCCAGCACTGTGAGCTGCTATAGGACTCCCTCAACAGCAGTATTGTGCAAGGTCTGGGCCATATTCCCTGGGCAGAGCACTGGGAGAGCAGGCTAGAGGCTTCGTTAGTCTTCTTTATTAAACTGCCTAATTGTATTTTTCCCCTTTAGTGTATCATTTGTAGACCCACATTCCCACAAATGACCCAGGCCCCACGCCTGCGTAGACAGAGAAATGATTTATTCATTTGGGCTAGCAGCGAATTGCTTCCCATTAGTGTGGGGCGGCTATAGCCTTGTGCAGTAACTGCAGCAGCTAAACACACAAAGCAGGACTCAAAATGGACCTACAAACTAACCTGTGGGATGCTGTATGCAGATTTCAATTAACATCACAGTATCATCTTTTCTGGTAGAAAATACTGTTCTCTTCAGTGCAAAAGCTCTCCTCGAAATTTTCAACCCTTTTCCATACATTTTTTTTAATGTACACAAAAAATATGCATCTCTCTAGAGAAGGACTTTTCCCTTGCCCTGAAAGCAATTTATTTTAAACCAATTGCAAATAACACGCCTCTTGTCTTGCTTGTGTATACATGTGTGTTCTTGTATTTTTCCGCCCTCATTATAAAGCCTGTATTTGTGATTGGGAAAGGGTGCAAAGACAGAGAAGAGGATGAGGAAAAAATGTTTTCAAATTGAAAGACAAGACAATTAAATTTTCATGCGTCTGCAGTGGCTTTCCTCGACTACGGCGCATGAATTACACTGTGGAAATGCTCCTTTTTGTTTTAGTGGGGGCTGCATGCAATAAATTTCATTTGAATATCCAAGTGGAAGGAAAACATCTTGCCGTCCTGTAAATTTATTGCCTGGAGGCCCTGTTGGTAAGTCATTAAGTGTTAAATCTAATTACTTTTTCACACAATTACAGCCAAATGGAACACAACAATGGCTGCAGAAACACATGGTCAAACTTATTAAGAAGGATAAGCCAAAGCTGACCAATTATCAAGAGGCTGTCATATCACTGCCTCCCAAAACACAAGAGGTTCATTGTGCTTGTTTATAGATATATATGTGAGTTCTAGTTTTAGGGTTCAGTTTGGGAGTTTTACATTTTTTCGACTTTGGGGGAATGCACTTACCGGTACTTGGTTTCTAAACAACAGGAAATAGATCAATCTTCAATTTGTTTCTTTGCATTTCAAATAAGATCATTCAGTAGTTTTATTTCTGTACGCACACAGAAAATGCAAGGTATTGCTCCATTTTTTAAACTTGACATAGAATTGCTTGTAGCAGTAGACACTGTATGTTTTTAAGCTTTATGCCTTACATGTAGTGCATGTGTGTATTCATGAGCATGCTTGAGTAATCCCCCCCTCACCTCCAGGATCCTTGTCAGGGTTGTACTCTAAAGCATTACTGCAGATGAGGTCGATATCCACCAGAAAGTCCTTCACTGTGAAGTACTTGTTTGTGTCAATCTTGGTCATGACAGTTGACAGGTCCATGGGCTGCCGAATAACCTCCAGATAGTCTGACACCTGTCACACAATGCAAAGCTCACATTAATAAAAAAAAAAGAGAAAAAAAAGGCCTGTATTCGGCTTTGTCAAACTATGAGTGAGACATCCTCTTTACCTCATCAATGTCAACTGGTTTGCTGAAGATGTTAAAACGTTTGTCGGTGGCCAGGCGCTTGGTCACGTCCCTGAGAAAGAGCCTGAGCTCACGTAGTGTGTTCTCCTCCTGTTCAGCAAGGCGGCGCTGTTCCTCTGCTGACAGGACCCTGGGGCCTGGAGCCTCTGCAACTGGCAGCGCCTCTTTAACCCTCTCTGTTTGGGTAAAAAGCAAAACCAAGTTAGAAGCAAAGACAGAGGAGAACAAATGACATATATTGACAAGAAATAAAGCTTTTGCATCAAGAGGAGACCCGGAGACATGATAAGAGAATCTTATGATTGATGATTTATCACTCGGCAATAAAACACAAAAGCATCAGCTGTGGGCAAAATCACTAAAAAAATACCTAATTTTTTTTTTAAAAAACAGTTAGCACACCCAGACAGTCGCATCTCTGATCCTTGACCATTTGTTTTTACACCATATCAGATAGAGCTAATAAATACCTGCTCCGGAAAAAAATGTTTCATGAATCTTGAAGCTGAAGAATATAATTTGGCAATACCCCTTCCCCTTAACATATTTTAAAAAATACACCAAGGGACAGTGAAGTGATGAAGAAAGGCAAGCAGATATCCGCTCCTCTCCCGAAGGGTCAGTCCTAGCCCAAGGCTGCTGCCGACAAAGTTAAGAAGAATCGAAGGCACCCCATGCCGCTCTGCTCACTTGCGGCAATCCAAGCCCTGATTCTCATTACGCCTAATAGCGGCTGGGCCCTCTCATTGCAACCCCTTCTCTGCTATCTGCCGGCCTCTCTGTTGGAAGCCAGGCTGCTGTCTTAGTCAGGCAGGGACCCCTGAAGAGCATCAGGCGAGTAAAGCGGGGGACCCCTGCCTTGCATCAATGAGGAAACTGCAGATGAACACTGGGCACCATTTCCATTTAAAAGCTCGAATGGACAGTTCTCTCGTATTGAACCAGAACAGAAGGGGGCATGGAGAATGGGGGCAATGGCAGTTGAAGGGGTGGCTCCGAGTTTGATCAGTGGTTGAGAGGGGCCGATTTTGATTTGAAAGCTGGATAGAGATGTTAGGGAGGATTGGCTTTACACTGGGCAAAAAGCACAGTTGCATGTACAACTACATTCAAATCTAACACTTGCTTATTTCTATTCCTAACCCTTGATTTAATTAAACCAATTCCGAATATCATTGACATTTTACTTCAATCTGCAAATGTAAATTAGGTACACACAAACACAGAAGTGTCTCCAAAAATGACTGCAGAAATATTATCAGTGGGAGAGGAAGAGAACTGAGCGGGGAGGGAACCGAGAAAATGCAGACAACACTGCCCTCTAGTACTGACGGCAGGGATGAGTCATAACTGTCTCGGTCTGCATGTGTATGCCTAAGTGAGTACAATAAGTACCTGTGTTCTTGAGGCGAGGTGGAGCCCTGGCAGCTTGGACCAGAAGCAGGTCAGAGAAAAAGGTTCTCCTGTCCTCTTCTTCAGGAGGGCACAGCGTCACTACTTCCCCGTAAGTCCTCTGGAACATACTTCTCACCTGTATTGCAAAACAATCAGGGGAGTGAATTTAAAAAACAATCCCCATAACCAGCTATCATTAGACCTTACAATTAAAATCTTCTCGTAACAAAAACAGCAGTTAAAGATTAGAATATAGAACAAAACTTTTAGAACTCAATTATTAAATGAGGGTCTTCAGATATTTCTATGAGATGATGCGTGATCAACCAGGGTCGATGAATCCTCACCTTAAGCCTGGTACACACACTACACGATTTTTACAATCTTAAACCATTTTGATAATGTGAGAGACCCCACACATCCAGGGGTCAGGACAACAATCCTGACCGATTAACAGTTCAGATCACATAGTGTGTGGTGTGCAACGAGACGATCAACTCCGCACACCACACACTAACCGATTCATTCGCCGACAACCAGAGTCTCGACTATCACAACGTGTAATATCGCGCAGTCAGATGCGATTTAAGAGTAAACAAACATGACGTGCAAACTAAATGTGGCTAGCTGTTAGCTGGTACATCCATTACAGTGAACATTTTGGTCAAACTCCTTTCCTTCAGTCAGTTGGACTGTGGTTTGTTTTACAGGACACGTTGTATATAACTTATGTTGTTGCCACAAATCAACAAGTTGGTCCTGAATTCATGACATCCATTTAACTTTATGCTTCGCGATTGCTGTTGTCGCCATGGTAATGTTTGTTGTGCTTCCTGCTTCAGTCAGCTTGCTTCCCTATTGGCTATTGTTCCGTTCAACGCGACAAGTCACAGAGTCTGTGCTCGGCCGTCCTCGATGTTCTCCCCACACCACAGGATTTCCGATCGTAAATATTGAACACGTTTAATATTTACGATTTCAAATCGGGGCGGCCCCGATCGTCTTCCAAGCAGATCAGGGAGGTTAAAATCAATCCTAACACGCCTCACACCACAGGAGAATCTGGCAAGATAATCTTTGGAACATCAGATAGTCAGGACCTTTACTGACTTTCGTCGGAAGGGGGGAATCCGGCCCAAAATCGGCCCGATTATCTTGTAGTGTGTACCCCGCTTTAGAGAGTAAAAAAAATACAAAATAAAAAAAACTGATGGCATGACAGCTTAAAGAAATAAGTACTTATGTACTGAATGGCATCTGAGAGATTAAATTTATGAAGTGTAAGATGTCTTGATTTTAGTACATTAAGTCCATGTTCACTAAATTACTATCATTGGATTGATGAGTGCAATTTCAATAATGGAAAATAGAAAAAGGAGCAATGGCAAATTCATCGATAACAAAGATTCACAACATAATACAAATATCTGTGTGTCTGTTCTGCAGCGGGATCAACACAACCTGACATTTGGAGAGGATTCAGACTGTCTTGATCCTACTGTGAAAAAAATGCAGCGCTCTGCTTTTTTAAGCATGGGGGAAACCAACACAGAATGATTCAGCAAAACAATACAGGACTCTCCACCAGAACTCTTCAGCCAGGCTCAAATTTTACATGAAATATATACATGCAGTAACAAATTCTATCAAATAGAAAGAGTTGTCACCATTATAACTTTCCAGATCTGTAACAGTGCTGGTAATGAAAACCAATGTGCAGTATTTCTGCATTAGATTAACCTTTAAGCTCATAAATCAGTAATACCCACAGGTCTCCCTAGATTGTACTCTTGTACCTTAACCCATGCGTATATTTGTCCTGTAGATTTAAGATATATTTTCTTATTTTAACAGAAACAGAAATCCAGCAATCTCAAAAATCGCATGTGCATCTCTACTGGTACTGCAGAGGTTGTAAAGATTTCACTTCCCTAGCCCGCCCTCAAAGCCACTCCCAATAGGAAGCCCTAGTTGCTGACTAAGCATGAGCTTTCCACTTTATACCCCCCCATCTGTCTTTCCCATCGATCCCCCCCCTTACCCATGGCATGTTTGTTCTCTTTCTTTCTCAGCATTGCCTTCTGTTCTGTTGTTTTATCCCCTCTCTGTGGATTTTGCCTCTCACCTCACAAGAGGGGGGAGATAAGGAGGAAAGGGGTAAAAGGGATACAAAGTGAATATAGCACGAAGCAGGTAAAGATTTTCAGTATTTTTCTTTTTCATCATGATAGAGGCTGCAGGGATGTTTGCAAAGAGAGGTAAAGCTTTGTGGTAAAAAAAAAAAAAAAAAGAGGGGGTTTAAGCATAGAGCTTGATGTAGGGAAGCTGGGACGTCTTGGTGGGTCGAGCAACTATAACACACGACTGCACATCCTGTCAGCTACCATGATCAATTCTTAACTAAAGAAACTGACACAAGAGCAAAAACATTTCTGTCAGTCTGTCTGACACTGCTAAATACAAATATGTATTTTCAATAATGTACACATCAGAGTCCAGATGGTAAAAACTGAGGCTGAGAAGTAAGTTTAGAAAGAGTGTCTGGTGCTGCAAAAACAGTTAACAGTAATTGAGAGGAAGTAGAGGAGCCAGAAGGCAAAGCTTGAAATATACTGTTCAATCTTATTTCCAACCCTGAGTTAGGGTCATGAACTTAAAGGGGTGACTTAAAGAATGATGTCACAAATATAACTCTCTGTTTTAATTAAACAACTGCTCCTTTGCATTGAAAGACTTCGCTTTGGGACTGTTGGCATTTAATTTAGATGCCTCAAAGTAACATCCCTGTGGAGGTGGTTCAGCATGTCCAACTGGAAGGAGACCATGGGGGCACGCTTCAGGGGTCCCATCTGGCCTGGGAATGCCTCAGGATCCCCCAAATTGAGCTGGAGGATTTGGCTAGGGAGATAGATAAATGGGCTACCTTGCCTTACCTCTTGCTACTAAGACTAGAACCAGAAAAAGCGACAGAAAAATCTGCATTTACTTTAAGTTCTCTGCATTTTATGAAGTCATATTGGGACACCAATGTTTTTGCCAAGGCTCAAAGATTACTACAGCGCCTAAGGTTTGATAGACAGTGTGTTCAAACATCTCTAAATACCACTGAAAGTAGGATATACTGTACTGTGCTGTGCTCTCAGTTATCGATTCTATATTAACTAGAGGGTTTTTTGGACAAAAAATATACACAGCATAACTCTGCCCAGGGTATAAATGAACAGATGTACTCTCGCCCCTCTTGCTCTCTCTTTTTGTATGATTTATTTATTGAGCTATACCAGTGTTTTTGGTGCTGTATTCTTAACTTTATTTATGTATCACTTGTTCCATTTTGTGTAAGTGAGATGGCACTCAAGAATGATTTCTTTAAATGTGTTTGAATAGTCCCATAAAGGATGGCCCGTGTTGAGGAAAGACATGAAAATAAAGATTCATTCATGTATCAATAATCAGGTCCTTACTGTAAAACCATTAGTATAATTATGTTGCACTAATTCACATTCAGCATACTGTTCCTACCGTTTTGGTGCTTCAAAGCCAAATCTAAAGAAATGATTGCATTCACTTCACCTCTACCGTCACCGTTTTCTTTTCTCCTCCAGTGAGAAGGAATTCAATCTGAGCAGAGTGAACGGCTGTTAAGAGAGGGAGGGAGGCTGTGTAGTTGGACAGCAGCCTGTAGCGTCAGTTTTGGCTGGGGAGGGATGCTGCCTGGTCCCTGCTGAAGTTTGGAGCTGAGACAGCAGCTGTCACTGTGTTCTTTGTGCCAGCAAGTAAAACAACACTCTCAGAGACCGCCAAATCACTTAAAGCACCATAGACTGCAGCATGGCCATGCCGAAAAATTTAAAACCTAAACTCCTAAAGCCTTGGTAAAGGAAGCTACTGAACCTCCTCTGAAAAAAAAAAAAGGGCAATATCATTTGATAAAACAAACAATGCCAGCAAGTGGGGCAATTATAATTACATAACAAGACTGAACTGTTGAAAGTGTAAACAGCCTGGGCAAAACTCTGCTCATTTAGCAAATTGGATGCCAATAATACTCAGTAAAACCTGGGGCATCGTTTAAGTGGGACCAACTATCTGTAGTTGTCATTACACACAGATGATTTTTCCTTCATAAAGATTATTTTAATTTACTTAATATGAACATTCCCTGCAAATAACATAGCTTTTATTAGATCTTTTTCCGTTTTTTACTGATTTTGGTCATCTACTTAAGGATAGTATTACAAACAAGGTGAACTGGTTGCATTATTATTATATAGTTTCACACTAGCAGAAATCGCCTGAAAAAAAACTCAGGATATTTCCAGGAGGAGCTGTATGTATGAACACAAACAGCCGAATTTTCGCTCTGACTTCACCCGGAGTTTTTCCTGCCAGACCCCTGATTTAATTTGAGTACGCAGCAGGATATTCTCCAGAGAATTCACCTCTAGCCAATAGGCAGGGGAGTGACGTTTGTATCTTGTGACTGCTGCACAGTGCCGAAAATAGGGCCGCCCTCCTAATATAATGGTAGGGGAAACACTGGGCTGCATTGCCAGGAGAATATCCGGAGCATTTCAGGAGTGCATAAGTGAAACGGCTTTAGAGTACATTAAGCAACAACTGGCGGATTGTTAATGGAAGGTATGGATAATCTCTTCAACCTATCCTCAACTGCTTTTACTAGGCATTACCATTGACAGTGCAAGTACAAAATAAAGGAACATTAAGTATATTTAAATGTAACTTGAAAATGGACAGAGACATGGTCTTTTTAACTCGTTGTGAAAAAGTTAAGAACAGACCTGTTTAACAAGTGCAATGACTCAACCGGAGTAGAAAATAGCTCCTCTTAAATGTGGAACATGGGGGGGGGGGAAAAGCTGAATAGCCCGAGGATAGTCTTGATTCACTGCTGCTAGCTTCACGCTGACTTGAACACACTATTAGTCCCATCATGTGCTTCCCAATTTTCCAGGTTTCATGACAATTTGTTCAATGACCAAAGAAGAGGTAATTCAACAAAAACAGAGAGTAATTGCCAATTCTACACATGGTCAGTAGCCTTATGTGTAATAAAAAGAGATCTACCTTTCAAAGCACAATGGCTGTGATTACTTCCATGTACAAAATTAAACTCTTACCACAGCATGTGAATAAATCAAATTTGTGGCGGTAATTGAAGCAAAAAAAGCCGTAATGGTCTGAGACAGAGAAAATGAATAAATGCTAATGATAACAAAAACAACAAAGGAAGCAACAGGAAAATTACAATTTAAACTTCAGACACAAAGTGGAAAATAGATTAAAGAGGAGCTCAATGGATGCAACAGCACAGGTGCCTCAGTCTTAATGAGTGTACTACAGAGGAGAATCATCTGTTTCCTTGGAGCTAGGCCAGAGTTAATTCCTGGCCAAAACAACAGCCACACACACACAAAGAGAGAGACACACACACAGACAAAAAAAAAAAAAGCGGCACTGTCTGCACAGGCATATTGATGTGGGATGTGTGTCCTGGCTTAAAGACATGGGGCTGCCAACCCCTGGACCTAATTAAAGCCCTTCTGTTGCCTGAATAGAGAAGATCCAACTCCTTATTTTTCTCTATTTCTTTTCCACCCTTCCAATTCTCACTGTTACCCCTCAAACCCTCCCTTAATGCCTCACCCACACCACCGGGTGGTGTGTGACTCTGCTTGAGCTTTCAGTAAGAGAGTAAGAAGAAGAGGAAGATGAGGGAGCATGTTTAGGGATCCCCAAGTAGAAAGGTGGGCAGTGAGAAAAATTACGAGAGAGGGCAAATGGAGCCAAGGTAGAAAAAAACTCAGTGGGAGCTGGTGACCTTGACTGTGACACCCTGCATGTGTCTGCACCAAGTCTGTGCGAGTATGAAGGAAAGATATAAACCCTTTGAATCAAGCTTTGAGGCTAGAGGTTAACACTCTTGTTTCTCACACAATGGAAGACACAGCAATATGTCTCAACAGAAAAACCAAGGGCAGGCCTCTAGCAAAACCTGAAAATGTCAGCTCAAGTGTGTGTACAGTATGTTCCTACCTCGTCTGACAGCTGTGAGTAGTGGGACTCAGCTGTGGCAAGGATAAGGACAGGGCTGAACGAGGGGACATCCTGCAGCAAGGTGAAGAAGGTGCTTTTCACAGTGTCACTCACTGTCTCCCACCACTCGGAGACATGCGGCATAAATACCACACTGGGCACGCTCCGACGAGCCTCACGGAAAACCTAAACCCACAAAGACAGAGACAAGTCATTCAAAGCTAGTTATGTAGCTTCTTCCCTCAACTTCAATCAACAAAAAAAACACAAATGTGTGGAAGTGCATTCAGTGAATATTTTTACTGTGTGGGTTACCTGAGCACAGGACTCCTCTGGCGTCTTGGCGCTGACGGAGTAGAGGGTGGGCAAATCCAGGCGGTGCACTGGCAGCTTGTCCAGGTGGTGCAGCAAAGCAGGGGCCAAATGAGAGCTCTGTCCCGAGCCTGGGGGCCCAGCCAGCAGCAGACGAGGCCGGTATGCTGTGGGCTGTTGGAGGGCAGAGCTAGTGACAGAAAGGAGTTTGAGGTTAGCGTTAACACATAAGGATCAGTGACCAGCAGTGGACACCTTTATAGTTTCAGTTACCGGTACGTTTTTGTAACTGCTTAGGAAGGCTTATGCTGATGCATAAAGCTATTGTTTGCATTTATTTATAGCACCCCAAAAATTTAAATGTCTCATAGACACAAACAGAGCAACATGCCTGGAACATGGGTGAAGCAGCATAGTGCTATACGTAGGGTTTCCCTGTGTGATTCAGTCTTTTCTCTCTCTTTTACCTGCTATGTTATGTGATTGAAGTCCTTGAGATTTCTATAAGGTTCCATTGTGACACGTGTCTGATAACAACATGTGACAAACAGGCCTGTTAAGTTAACCCTGGCTTTGATAAAAACAGGGAGCCGATAGGCATCAAGATTAAATGTGGTTTGTTGACCAGAAGCCTTTCAACATCTTAAAATCTACTCATTTACCTTGAGAGGTTTTTCATTCCTCCTTCAGACACACCACCAGAGCAGTACATGGTCTGTGCCTTTCAAGTAGAAATTGTTACTGAAAAGCAATATGTTATAAACTCCCTTTATCCGTCACCATTTTGAATGGAAGTGGTGACTCATCTTTTAATTTCAGAACTGTCTCATCAACATTTCTTGGCTTTTCATCCTATCCTCTGATAAAACTTTTGCACATTCCTCCTATTGTGCACTCTAACTAGGCAATCTGTACTGTGCCAAAGCATGGTACACTTCCTTGGCCCTGGCAGGGTAGACATAAGGGTATAATCAATCCCCACCTTGCATAATCGAGAATTCAACTCAAAACAAGCCAAAAATCAGTGAAGTCTCCATTGTTAGACGAGAAAATTAACCATGCCGCTATCATAGAGTCTTTGACAGCTATCAGAAACAACAACAGATTAAAACTGAAACGGTTGTGTTTGTTTTTATCTTCTCTCTTGCATGACATACACTTCAGTGTTTCCCCTAGGTTTAGAGCTCTGGGGTGGGGGGGGGTCCTGCGAGTTGTTCCTGCAACTCCTGTTTCTGAGCGTACCTGAATGCATCTCTTATTGTCTGAGCATAAATAAATAACATAAGGCTTTTAAGTTTGTTTAATAAAAGGACGAGGTATAGACCTGTTCTATAGGAAAGGTATCCTTATGACTTCTGTTGTGATCTGGCGCTATATAGAAAATAAAATGAACTTGACGATCAAAGGGAGGCGGGGGGTGCCGCTGGGGGGGCAGGCCGCCCCCTAATATAATGGTAGGGGAAACACTGCACTTTAGTGATGTTCCGATCTTGAACCGCTCCAAAACGTATATAAATTCAAACCAGATTATGCAAACTGCAAATATTCTATTTCCTCACTTAGGAAATAGCAACGCTCAGGTGCGCTCTGACAGCACATAACCTATGGTGATGACTTGTGAACAAGGTGCAATAAGAGTGCAGGCCAGCTAGTGTGAGTGCGCCCTTCCTGTAAAGTCTCTGCATTAATAACATCTTGTATGGAGAATAATGTGTTTATATAATAATTAGGAAAGTGCATTCAACTAAAAATATAACTTCCAACTTTGCAAGGCACACTAGATCTATACTGCTCTCTAATTAGAAGACACTTTGCCCCCTATTGTCTTGAGTGTGTTTATCATTAGATCCATCTTTGTGTGCAAAATAGTGCAAATATACAGTTTAATATGCTGTGTTTTCTGTAGGATTGGCTTGTGGGCTTGTTGTCTTTAATATTACTCGGCATACACCCTTTAGAAACTAGTACTTATAACCACTCTTATAAAACTATATACACTTAATAACAATTTGATTTCTTTTTTCAAAGTACAAGATACCTGTATCTGCTTACTAAAAATAAATTGCTAATCTGCCACAATATATCAGACTTGAGAGTTTCTATGGACTCACATGGAGAAATGGAGGAAGGGTCTGTGGGTTGCAGAAGAGGAGAGCTGACTCTTTGGGGATGCAGCAGGCTGGACTTCATAGATGGAAGGGGAGCCTTCCTCATTGTCATCGTCGCTGTACAAGTCCTCTGCAAGCAGTTGATTGTCACCGTCTAGCACAGATAGAAACACTTATAATACAGCCATGCATAAGTAGCAGCTAATTTTTCCTGAAGTTACTGAACATAATGGCACTAAATCCACTTAAAAGTTTGTTTCTACAAAGTTGAATTCTCAAAGCAGCACTACCACTGACATTAATGTGGTCATTTCACTCGAAAAGCGTCAATAAAAAAAGAGAGCTGGCTTATTAGGCGAGATGTAATGGGCATTTAAAGAGATGCAGCACTCTTGGAGCTTATGTCATTACTGGATGCAAGAAGAACAACTCCTGGAAGCAATCTCCCACTGGTCAAGTGCTGAATTGTGGCTAATCTGCTGAAAATACTCATTTGTTGACTGCTGTGGGAGTTGAGTTATTGAAGTGGAAGCGGGATGACTTGTTACCAAATCTCTGTGCTATCAGCTCTAATCTCAGGGGGAAAGTTTTATCACAGAGTACCTCTAGTGTTTGAGGGTGACACAAAGCACTTTGATATAAGGCAGGGGGGAAAGAAACAAATCAGAAAAGGCTCAAATGTGCCAACAGGGATAGCACCCTGATAAATGAGACAAGTGGCAGAGTAAAATATAGAAAGAGTCTAGCAGGTAAAAGCAAAAAAAAGGTATACATTGAAACCATGGACCCAGATCCTACCATGTTTGTTGTCCCTGTCAGTACACTGACCATGGGGGAAGACTCGGAGCAGAGCTTTCAGCACCAAAGAAAAAGAGCTTGCCAACAGAGGCCTGAGGGTAGGGGACAGGGCTCTGCCCGGGGGAGCAAGGGCCCTCTGGGAGGCTGGGACAATTGTCGTCATTGCCTTGCTGAAGTCGCCGGGCCCCAGGACAATGGAGGTGATGTCCAGCTTCAGTTTGACACTGCTGCCGTAGATCTGGGGGTAGCGGCGGCGCAGCGCCGCCAAGGCTGCCTCTGTGCAAAGTGCTTTGATGTCAGCACCACAGTAGCCTGGGAGCAAGAAAAACACACAACAGTTAGTTAATTTTTTGCATTTGAAAACAACTAATAAAACAAAAATCAATTAAAAGAGAATAAATCAAAATCATTTTTCTCTTACCGACACATTTTTCTGCAAGTTCCTCTACAAATGGCTCAGCCAATTTGGGATTCCAGTCCCGTGTGTGAATCTCCAGAATGTGCTTTCTGGCCTGAGCAGAGGATTTTGTTTGGACATTGGGAAAGACACCCCCAAAAAAAAAACAAGAAAGGAAAGTCAAGAGATGAGGGAGCACAAGTCCTGTGTAGGCTTATAGGATGTTAAACAGGTTCAACTGTCATGGTATCAGTTATTGCCAGGAAACAATTTTTATGTGTCTGTGTGTGATGGGAACAAAAAAATCATTCCCATCTTCTCTTTATGTAGAACTGACAAGAGCAAGAAAAAGATCAAAATGAAATAAGGTGAAAGAGTGAGCTCATCTGAGGTGCCTACTAACACTCACATTTATTACATCGTCTCCCTGGGACGCTACTTTGATAGACAGAAGGAAGTGGTCTTTGTCATGAATGAACAGAAACCGTTTACATCATCTTTCATCACCAATCTCCCTTTCTATTCCTACTGACATAACTGAGACACATTTCAGACAGGTTTCTAGTTGGGGCAATACCAGGGGGGGCTTAACTAACATGTGTATGGATGATTGTTATTTGCAGTAGAGAGCTGTGTTCAGGAAGACAGAGCTCAGTACTGGTGTGTGTACCTGGCGGCGCCCTGCAGATTCAACTTTGATTAGAAATGATCTTACTGTGTGGACAAACAATACTAGGTAAAGCCTTACGTATACGTAGATAAGTGACTTCTACTGATTTGTTTTCTGACTCACTTTCCATTTAAAAACATGTAACAGTGGTGTGTGATTACCAAAAAATAAAACATGCCTCCCCAAATTAAATATTAAAGTCAGAGGCGCTGGTGGCCTAGAGTTTAGTTCACTCTCCCCATGTACAGGGGCTGTAGCCCTCGAAGCAGGGAAGCCTGAATTTAAATCCAACCTGTGGCTCCATCCCCGCGTGTCATTCCCAAATCTCTCAAACCCATTTCCGACACTATTCACTGTCCTGTCTCAACAATAAATGCAGAAAAAGCCACAAAAGAAATCATAAATATTTAAATTTAAGCCATTAGGTCTGAAAAACAAAAGTTCCTCTAAGAGAGGTTTTTAATTCTCAAGCAATCTAATGAGCATCTACTTTACTACTCGATTGTAAGATTAAAAACATCCAACAGCAGGGGGAAAAAAAGTTGATTAGACTTAATAGCCAGAGAGCTGCATGAACTAATTTCTTGGCAGGACTCTTATGAGTAAAACACAAATTACCCCTGGATAAGATTGTGTCTCCAGCTGGGTGCGCATTTGGGGACAGCATTGCATATACCCTAACTGCTCCTTGTACTAAACAATGCATTCTGTTATGTCACAGTTGGCCAGGAGACAGATGCTGTCACATTACATGTTGGACTTAAAGGTACAGTATCTGCAATCTTTTAAGCATACAAAAGAAACGTTAATGCTCCGTCTCCAGTAGAAAACATGGCAAAGATAAATCACTGTGTAGTACAGACTTTGTGTGTATGGTTTTGTTCATGATCATGTGACCAACGTACACAGTATTGATGTTTCTCACCTTCTTGTCTGGCAGGTTAAACAGAAACTCCCGGTCAAAGCGTCCGGGCCTCCTGAGTGCAGGGTCAATAGAGTCAAGTCTGTTTGTAGCACCAATGACCACTATCTCCCCACGACTGTCCAAGCCATCCATCAAGGCGAGCAGGGTTGACACAATAGAACTGGGAAGAGGGAGAAGATGTATGTTTGTCATATAGCATTCAGTTGTCTCTAGTCTTTCTCTAAAGAATACATCACAATTCAAAAACTGGCCTGCTGTATTTAATAAAATATTATAAGAACTTTATCACAATGACTTCATGTAAAGTGTTACAAAGATGTAATGCATGACTTTAAAACGCACACAAAAGTATAGTCCCGAACTTTAGAGCATAAACACTTTTTTAGGATTCAATCAATCTCAAAGAACTCATGAGTCAGTAGTAACTTCATTTGTATTTACAGATTCTACATAAAGATGGAGAATGGCAGCTATTACCATAAGGATCAACTGCAAGCTGTATCTGGATAACAGGATATTTTCTCAACTTCACTACATGTTGAAATGGTCTAAATAAGAAATGGAATTGTTGTGTATTTCAGCTTGCATTGCAATTGCTGCTCAATAAACAAATAAATATGAACTGAAGAGTCCCTGATGTGAAGCATCTAATTCATCTCACAAAATCAGATGGCAGAGTTTTTTTATCCATTTCTTCACACACATCTACATCTCTCTGTAATTTGTGCCTCAGGATTTGAAATGGGATTCTTTGTATGCCATCTATATACTTCTGGTAACAATGACTGTGCATCTTGGTAAAGGGAAATCCTCCTTTGTTGCTCTTCGTGAGTTTTCTTCCTTCAATTACTTTGTTGGAAACAAAGAGCAAAGTAAATGGAAATGCTTCACTGTCACTAAAGGTCTCAGGGACCCTTGTAAAAAGTTTGTTGAAAAGCCCCCTGAAGCAATTAAACCTATCCTGACTTATGCTTGTGCTACTTGTGTGGACAGTCTGACTGATGAGTGCTGACACTAGGTCAAGTTGAGGTTGGATTATGTTTCAAAGATAAACATGTGTACAATAGTCATAGATTCTTTGATATGATGATTACAAGCTCATTAACCTTACCTGTGTATCTGGTCTTGCCTGCTGGAGCGAACAGGAGCCAAACCATCAATCTCATCAAAGAAAATAATAGATGGCCTCATCAGGTAAGCCTGGCAAAAGAAAACACAAAACCAAATCACCACCAACATTAGACTCGTTGGAAAATATATCAAAGATGGCTATGCTAAATGAAATACAAGAATACCATTTTTGCAAAAAAGTGCTCATCAACAAAGAATATTTATCTGCTATAGCTATAAAATAATTACAGAAACCTAAAATATTCAACCAGCAAATGGGCAGTTTGAAATTTATATCATGAATCCAAGTCAGATGACTTAGGGCGCACTCATACCAGGCAATCCAAACGGTGCCTAAGCACGTTTGAGCCCAAAGTCCACTTTGTTTGACTGGTGTGAGTGCTGCGTACTGTTCTCAAGCACAGCACACTTCCTTGACCCCGGCACAGTTGAAGAAGTGTGCTTCAGCACGGTATGGTTACTCATGCACAAGTACGGGAACGCAACGTGTACATGTTATCGATGCCACCGTTCCCCTCGACAATCATCTTAACAGTGGCGGTGATGCAGAGGTGGAGTGTTTACTCAAAATTTGGCAGGTACAAATACTCCTTTAACTGACCAACAAGACCCAAAATAAGTCACAAAACCAGTACAGTTGCAGTCATGTTCTCTGTATTGTTACCCATTGTGCTGACTCTGAGACCACGCTTCTTGTAAACAAGTAGTCGTATTACGACGTGATGATTTATGTACAAGAGGTATCCGTGGTCAGCAAGGTTTAGCCTGAAGCAATGTGAGTTCAGGCCAGCCAGGGAATAGGGACAGGGGACAATCATCCTTCAGCAACTGGACCTAGTGTGAGTGCGCCCTTAAACTATGGTTACGATGGATTATCAGAAAGTTGCCTTCGAACTCACACATGTGCTGACTGTGTCTCTCACCTGGTCAAATAGCAAGCGTAGCTGCCGTTCCGATTCACCGACCCACTTGCTGAGGCAGTCTGCTCCTTTCCTCATGAAGAAAGAAACCTTCCTGTCTCCGTGGCTACACTCATTAGCAAGCGCCCGAGCCACCAGGGTCTTTCCTGTCCCCGGAGGGCCATAGAACAAACACCCTCTAAAAAAGGAGAGGAAATAGAGACAAGTTTATCAGACAACAGCTATTTAAACCACCTTTTAAGTGTATTCATAACTTAAATAATCTGTAAACACCAACATAATAATGCCTTTTTTAAAGCGGACAGCACGTCTGAGGAATTACAAAATACAGAAAACACTACAAAACTCAAAACTATTCAAGCCACCTTCTTGAAATTAACCGTCAAATGTTTGTTCCTTTCACCTGGGAGGTTGAATCTTAAACTTCTCAAAGATCTCGGGATAAAGCAGTGGGAACACGACCATCTCCTTTAGTGACTGAATGTGATTACTGAGGCCACCAACACTTTCAAATTTCACCTGTGGAGAAAACATTTTTACAGTTGAAAAAGTAGAACTTTAAAAAAAAAAAAAAAAACAAGTCACCAGGAAGCTTTATTGTATTGCTACAAAACTAATTCACAAATACTATAACAGACTACCATTAAAAGAGATATTCCTAGGATTGTATACTTCCAGGTTGTAAGATTAAAAGTGTGCTGCATTATAGCTAAGATATTTGTTTGTGCTTTTACTCACTGAGGTGTCAAGGTTCATGGGGTCCACATCAGCTAGACTGGTGCCCACTTTAACCCGATCACGCAACACACCACTGGCCAAGTCTTCTGCTGTCAAATTCATTGGCAAACATCTGCTGACAAAATAGGATTGGCATTGGTTATTACATGCACATGCAGTGTACAAATACCAGTCACACAAAAGTAGTTGCTGCAGCCCTAATGCTAGCGTGGATGTTTCTAGACATCCATTATTTCACAGAGCCTCAAAAAATATAAATCAGAATAGAGTTATAATCAGTGATTGTGTAAACCACAGCATGATTAAAAGGGGGAAGAAAGGAACAGCAGCCCTCACCTGTTCCTGGCCCGGCTCATGCTCTTGCTTTTTCTCCGCTCAAACCGTTCCTCATCAGAAGACGAGGTTGTGTCACTGCTGTGAATGGCATGTTTCTTCACTCTGGAGAAGTGTGACAATCTCAATTCAGTGTCAGACCGTTACACTGTAGCGTCACTTTATCAGCAGAGACTGATGGAAGTGTAAAAGCCTTTTTATAACCACAGTTCTGAGTTGATTAATCAGAGGAACAACAAAGTAGCATCACACCTGAGAGTGATTTTTTTTTTCACGAATTACAACTAACCTTATATGGCTTCTTCTTGCTGGGGATCTATGGGTGTCAAACAGTGAGGGGTTGCTCTGTTTTCTGTTCACAGGCTCTGAAAGCGCAAACACCAACAGTTAGTTTCCACATACTATGGTTCTGGAATAGTTATAATTACAGACCGAAAATGAGTAAATAAATGGATAGCGTCCTTAAAACAGCAAAAAAGTATGACTTTTCAAAAGTGTTATCACCCCTCCCCAAATAAGTCCCAGCATTTACCGATAGGTGGTGCTTCATATCTCTGCACCGTCTTTCTCTGCCTCAGGTTGTATGGCCTGTCATTTTCCTCTCCTGCCTCTCCACTTCATCTCCTTCATCATCTTCATCATCATCCTCTGCATCTTCCTCTTCATCGTCACCATGAGAATCTGAAAACATCATGTGCAGTTTTTTGACTTCATATCTCACGTAAGTGTAAAAAGTATTCACTCAAAGGTCACTTGGTCATCATCTGTAGATGTTTTGTATTGATTTGAAAGATGAGGTGGTTCATGACGTTTTCACCATTATTTTGTCTCCACTGATTTATAAGTAGGACATAAAAAGAAAACTAACCTTCCGTCCCTTCCTCTTCTTCCTCCTCCTGCTCAGTTTTACTCATGGCTTTATGATGTGCAGGCATGCTGAAGGTACTCCTGCGCATTGATTTCCTACGCTTCACCCGAGAATACATGTCCATGTTTTCCTGGAAAGTCACAGCCTTCACACAATTACTAGTATTCAAATCAAAATAATCAGAGAGTACTTTTCTAACTACTGGACTTTTATTTACAGGTCAGCCACACTCACCTCCTCAGTGTCTCCTGTCCACATGCGAAGACGCTCCACCTCCGGTTTTGCCTGATGCTGCTGATGTTGTCCATCTCCTGAAGGACAGCCTCAGCAGTGCTGCAAACACACAGAATTTGTATCGTTTGGGTGACAAATGGTAAATGGACTTGAGCTTGTATAGTGCTTTTCTAGTCTTCTGACTACTCAAAGCGCTTTTACACCAAAGGTAACACCTACACATTCACATCCATTCACACACTGATGGGAGAGGCTGCTATGTAAAGTGACCATCAGAAGTATCTATAGTAATCCATACATGCGCCACCGACGGAGAGACGACCAATTCTATCACTGAGCCACAGGTGCCTAATTTGTACATGAACTTCATTGTCTATAGACCCAATTTCTAACATTAACATTTTTCTTAAGTCGACTCTTTACTCTAAAGCATTGGATGTGACAAGAAAGAATTACATTGAGACACCATGCTAGATTGCTGTACTTTGAAGCTGCTCACTTCCATATTAAGTGAATTTGAATGTAGGACTTGAATATGGATGATGAAAACTTTTGCCACAGGTTCGTAGCTAGGACTTTGTGAAAGACTTCATAAGGCAACTAAATAAAACAATTAAAAAAAATGTTTTTTTTATTTCTCAAATGTAAACTGGCCAAATTCAGCTTGTTGCAATTTCAGTAAAGTATGCTTCAGCTATTAAATTTCTACTTTGTGATTCTGCTTATTATGCTTTGCATGTTAAAAGAGCAGTTTAATCAGTGTGAGGGTTAGCTACCTGTTGACCAGCTGGTCAAACAGCAGGCTCTGATTGAGGTGTTCAAATTGGCTCTTCTTCACCCGGCAGCTCTTCTTCAGTTCCACATGGCCGTTCATGTGGGAGTGATCTCCCCCTCCGCTCTCATCATTCCGGTGACTCATATGAGCTGCAGCATCAACAAACGTTGAGTTAATTATTTTATTCTAGGCCATCCAAATGCATATTTTCAACATATGGATTAAAAAGAGAGACAAATACAAACTGCATTACCGTGCCCATTTTGCATTATGCGAGAGGACAACCTGGAAGCACAATAACAAGGGGTATTGATGTATGCAAAGGAAACACAAAGAACTGGATACACACATTTAGGTTGGTTAAGATGACTTGACAGCAAATAGCCATATAAACTTAGTTCTGGCTTAAAACTGAATCTTTGTACAGACAAGTCAACTCATCAATAAACTGATGATTTCAATGCAATACTACTGTTGTGCTTCAAAAAAATATGCACTCTCGGTCTAATATTCAGAGATGCCCCATGATGTGTGAAACCAGAACCAACAGCTGACCTGGTGCGATAGGTGGGGATGTCCCAGCTGACCCTCTGGCCTTTAGTCTGAGGGGACGGGGAGGTGTCACTGGAGCTGGGCTCAGAGGCGGTCTGTCGTCGTGTCCGCTTGGAAGGGGGAGCCAACCGTGGGCTGCTGGGACTACTAACATCACTACTGTGATCCTTCTGTTCAACAAACAAACATTACATCAATTTCAGAGAGGAAAATGTAGAGACTAGAGAGATAAAAAAAAAAATCTGAACAAGCAAGTAACAGAACGCATGATTGCAGAAACAGTTACAGCCGTACACAAGTACACTTTAATGATCACCTCAATTAACTTAAATAGCACCTTTAATTGAATGTTTGCACTGCCAGTTATTTAATGTCTGCTTTTTAAAACATTGCTGTACATATATAAACAACACAACTTCAGAAGGTCAACACTTTTTTATTCTTATTTTTTATATTCAGGTCTAATTACAGATTTAACTGTTTATCGGTTCTTGTTTAAATTGCACATATAGTTTTATCCCTGCACGGGTTATGTACATTTCTTGTATAAATCCATTTTTAATTGCACAGTTTAAGTTTTTTTTTTTTATCTAGGGGTATTTAAATCTTTTTTTCAGGTTAATATATATGTATGGGAGGGGAGGGTCTGTTTTGTGGTTTAATTTGTAACATATGTTTCATGTCATGTATGTCTTTGTAACCTGCTACTGGATGCTTTGAATTTCCCTCGGGATCAATAAAGTATCTATCTATCTATCTATCTATCTATCTATCTATCTCAAGTTTTTATTTAAAAAACACTCTGTCAGGCAGTGTATAAAGCTAGAATATTAAGCAAATACCAAGTACACATAACCAAACTGCTCAAGTACAAAATCTAATCCATGACAACATAAAACACATCAAGGACGCAAGACAGCAAGAGCCCCACAGGGCAAACCCAGAACAGAGTATTGTGAATAGACATGACGCCTTGTACCCAACTCCTCAATGTATTCTCTGAATCACAACAGGGCACCAAGCAGGCATATGCCCTTGATGCTCACGCCCTTCACAGCTTCACTTCCCTGCTGATATGAGAGTGTATCTCACTGTTGTCATAGGCAACTGTCTGCAACGTCGGTGGTGGAGTTTGTCTGACAGGCCGGGTGCAGACACACTGAAAAGTGCATGATGTACTGGCAAGCAAGCAAATGCAGTGCTGCAGCCTGACAGGTGTACCCTGAAATATTGATTTGTTTAACTCACTTTTCCAAACACTGTGAAGTTAAACAAACCATTGTCAGTTTTAGCAACAAGGGTTAAGTTAAACACAGCTAAGTGTGTGAAAGGATTGGGGATTGTTGTGTACAAATATAACTTGAATTCTTGAAAATTACATTGTCAAATGTAAAGGTCTGTAACAACCCAAGAATGTTAAATAAGAGTTAACAAAGTCATCTGTCATCTGTCATCGGTTAGTGTGGCTGGCAACAAACAGGACTGGACATCAGCCAGGAATCACTCAAAATCAACCAAGTATGAACAAACACACCATTAAAGAATGAGATAATGACTGTCAACAAAACATATTGTACGTTTGAGACAAGAGCTACGATGGAAATAAGTCAGAAACACGGAAGCTCTTGCCTTTCCTAATGTCAATGTTTACATTTAGAGACAAAGGCTGTCAGGCTGTTTGTGGGTCAGTCATCAGAGTGTAAACTATTAATTCAGCTCACATTTCAACATAGAAGGAAATAAACAGGTCTATTGTCACATTAGTAGGTGTAAAACTGTTGTTGTGTAAACAGGTTGTCTGTGGGTCTGAGGGGCAGAAAGTTCACCAAGTTCAGACTTGCTAAATACGGGACTAGAGCCAGTCCACTGTTTTGAACCCAGGACTCCCTTCCCCCCACTAGCTGCCGGGCTAGCTGTTCCCTACAAATGCTAGCACAACTAATGCTTTATCTCTTTACAGTTTAAATAATAATGACACTGATACGTCAAGAAGGGTGACATTGAGTAATGCTAATACCCCAGCGTAAAACTTGAAGTTTTCTTTGATTTGGAGGCTCATTTGTGGAGACAATGGTGAAACAAGTCAGCCGGGTAAAATTGCCAAACACAAAGGGAACTGAACTTAGGGTTAGCCTGGAGCTAACATGGCTAGCTTGTAATTTGACAGCTGAGCAATGCGTTCAGTGCAAGTGACACGCAAATAATGTGCAACAATCAAGTCTTTTATTGTGTTTCTGCGTGACTGAGCGGGTGTCAGGTTTTTTAATGCTCGTACTTTGCTGTGAATAAAACATTAAGTGGAGCACCTTGAGGCCAATGCTACAGCTACATAGCCAACTAGCAGAGCCAGCTAGCTCGCCGGCAAAGAAAGGAAACCGGCTTACATGTTCTTCAGAGCTTCGCTCGGTTCTCGACGAAGACCTAGTCCGAGAGGAGATAAAGGGACCGGTCCCCGGTCGTGAGCTTTTTCTCGTATTCACCATGGTTTCTCCTTTAGTCTGCCCTCACTGAATCTCTCTTACCGGCTCCAAACCCTGCCTCAGTGAGCGCAGCATCGAGGCGCCATTTCTCTCTCTCTCTCTCTCTCCTGCCTCTCTCTCTCTCTCCCTCTCTCCCTCTCTCTCTCTCTCCTGCCTCTCTCTCTCTCTCTCTCCTGCCTCTCTCTCTCTCCTGCCTCTATCTCTCTCTCTGTCTCTCTCTCTCTCTCTCTCTCTCTCTCTCTCTCTCTCCTGCCTGTCTCCCTCTCTCTCTCCTGCCTGTCTCTCTCTCTCTCTCTCTCTCTCTCTCTCTCTCTCTCTCTCTCTCTCTCTCCCTCCTGCCTCTCTCTAGCTCTCTCTCTCTCTCTCTGCCTCTCTCTCTGTCTATCTATCTCTCTCTCTCTTCCTCTCAAGTGGATGTGGGTCTGTTTAGCAGGTGCATTTATTTTTGCTGACTGGACAACTACCTTTAAGAATTAGAAGCCACGTTATTTAATATAAGAAAATAATAAAGACCAAAATAATCAATACAACCAATTGTGTTCTGTTGTTTTGGTTCATAATAACTCCAGAGAAATATTGACCTTTAACCACAGTACACAATCCTGTAAAGTTAAATAAGTCACTATAAGTAGCATATTACTGAAAGATAAATCCCAAAAGCAACATTAAAGTGATCAAGTGAGGAAAAGTCAAATTTATAAACTTGAGTACACAGTGTACTCCTCAGAGGAATATAATGTTCTATAGTGACATTTTTAGGGGAAAGAAAACGTTGAAATAGCGTGTGTCCACTCTTTGCTGTGGACACAGAAACATTTTGTCCCTTCTTGTCCCTAAACTTTAACATAAAAAAGTAGAATGACTAATGTTCAAATGGGTCCTTTTCCCCAGTTTTCATTCTGAAATCATTCACCAAAGTTTAGTGAAGCTTAGAGCTTAGTCAAGCTATGGTTTAGTAACTAAATCGCCTTGACTTAGGTCCAACATTAAAACAACACTTAAAAAACGAGCCCCCATATATTCAAGAACAAAAACATTTATAATTCAACCCAGAACTGATGACTCAATCTCAAATATGATAATGAGACCACGTTTTGAATACAGTGTCACATTCAATCAAGTAAGACCCAATATGTTTTGGTATTCTTTCACTAAAAGAGAAATGTCTGAGGACTTTGTTCAGACAAGGTTTCCTACAAGTAAACATGACATTAAGAATTGTAGTTGAACCAAGAAATTGAAACTTTCCAGAAACCCTGTGGGATCCTGTGACCCCAGTTGTGGACACTCTGCTGAAACCAAAGCCTGAATGTGTTTGGGAGTGTGTTGCCTGTACGCTATTTCTGTCTTGACTGGAGATGCAACCGTGCAAGCCATCTGCTTCAAAATGATGGATCAAACCCTGATTTCTTTTAGGGAAAAATAACCTATTTTGATTCAAGACAATATGATATTTCTAATTTTGTGAAAAAAGTTTAGTCTTGAAACAAAAATACTCTAATATATCAAATGTTGACGTTGCATTGCAAATGAAATGATCTATTTGGTCATTCCACTGGCATCAGAGGCCAAATCATTATTTACTTTTGTACATGTAGCCTAGAAAATGAATGTTGGTCCATGAGATGACTGGGTCATATAGACACTAAAATATTAATAGATGATGATGGTATAATGGTGATGGCTTTTGTTTGATAACGATGACTTATAAGATGGTTTCTATACTGATTAGAGCTCTCAAGAACTGCCGTCAATGTTGTGCTTTGCCTCTGTGCAATGCCTGTCAGCACCTGTGTGTCCAATCAGACTCAAAGCTGATCGTTTGCTCTTACTGACATTGTTCCCTTTTTTCTAGATCCTTGCTTGTGTTGTACTTACTCTCTGATGTACGTCGCTTTGGATAAAAGCCTCTGCTAAGTGAATTGTAGAATTGTAAATGCACAATGTATTTAGGCTATTTGCCTAAATCAATGTGTGCCCTAATATATTGCTTCATATGGTTGATAAAATGTATTATATTTTTCCTAGGGGCTAATAGGGGGTATTGCAATGTCTTTACAATATACAGTATGAAAACCAACACCATAACCATGACTTGGGAAAATTAAACGATTGATTTGTAGTGTAAAAAAATGAATATGTCTAAAAATACTTTGGATTTAAAGTTGCATGGAAAGATTGTGAGATTATAAAAATGGATCAAAGCCAAAACACCTTATTCTAGCCTGTCAGACTCAGCTCTCGTCAGACTTGGTGTGTATGTGTATGTGTTTTTTTTTTTTTTTTTTTAAAGAAAAAAGAAATGGTGTAGTTCCCTAGAAATCGTGCTGTTTTTCTTTAGTTTGATTCAATTGCTAAAATACCACAGCGAATGATATGATTAATTGTTATTATCTTACATGCACCTCTTTCAATAAGAAGATAGGTCCAAAAATAAATATTTCTATCAATTAGTGTGCAACATTTTGAATCCTCTTTAGGGATCTCTTGTAGCCAATGATGGTTCGACCTCAAAAATAGAGCCTAGCCTACATAAATAATAGTCTAATAATATATAGGCAAATAATAATACAAAAAACAATAATAATAATAGCCTTATTATTATTATCATTATTATTAATACTATTATTTGTATTATTATATCATTATCAATATTCATTTGATTCATTTTTGTTGTTGTTGAACGATGGATGGATAGAAAAAGGATAGATAGTGAGATAGATTACCCTGCTTAACTGAACTGAGCGCAGCAGCACAGTGTTTTGCGACAGGAGTAGTGGCTTTACGGTAGCCTCCTCCTGCGTCACAGATATTGCTGAGCAGAAGAGACGCTACACCAAACTTGTGGCTGCAGATGTGTAGCCCGGGATTATCCAACAAATCACGAACTGGTAAATCAGTATTTGACCTTAACCTTTAATACGAGCATGCAGATGTGCATCCTTTGAGTGTATATGTTCATTTAATCCATGTTATCATTACACAGGTCCTCTGTCGGAGGCGTCCATGCTTTGTGACGCCCACTTACATAATTAACGAAAACATTTTAGGTTATTGGTTGTTGTTGTTTTTTATCTTTACAATTCAGCCGCTTGTCTTGAGCGAATTCAAGTCATAAACAAGTTTAGTAGTAAAACTGACAATGTACACGCAAATGTTTGTGTTTGTACACAATTCACTGTCATAATTTAATGGTTTATAAAGGTTATATTTCAATAAAAACTTGTAATGGTAGTAGATCCTGTACTGATGTTTTCTCTGTCCACGTGTCTGTCATGTCATAGATGGAAAACACACAACGTCATGAAAGAGTTTGACACCGTTGGTGGTGAAAATGATGCTGATCGGTAAGTCTAACTGGGAATGATTATGTTTTTCCTTTTGATGTCATGCTTAAATGAAATATTTGCATTTGAGAATTCCCACAACTCCGTTGGTTGTGAATCATCTTTTATTGTTAAGGACAACACAGTATGAACTCACACAACATGTATTTTTGGTGTATAAAGGATCTCAGCAGTTTGGCTGGAAAGTCATGTTGCAAAGAGGTTATTTTTCCGGTTGACAAACCTATTTGCTTAATATAACCCTGCTGTGTTGAGAGGTCAATAATGCATTGTTTCTGTGACTGCAGGCAGAATTCAATACGATACATGATGACTAAATTTCACTTTTGTCTATTTCTTAATGGATGGTCAGTAAAGAAAATGAGGAGGAGGCACCGATCAGGCGTAGTTTCTCGGTTGAAGACCTCCTTGATGAGGTGGAGAAGATCTGTTACGATGCCTCAGGGACGTCAAAGGTCAGAAACAAACACACTCACACAATTTCAGGGACATTCCTCTGTCAATGCTCAAAATGAGACTATTGTTTGCAGTTTTATATTATTATTTTATTATCGTAATTTACACAATTAAGTTGACTCGAAGCATTGAAAATAATGAAAAAGTTGATAAAACACCCACATAAGAAAAGGTTTTAATAATGATAATAATAGACTTTATTTGGCATGGACATCACAGATACATTGGACGAACCAGATGCATTGTTTAAGTGTTTTAGCAAGCATACTAGTTCTCAACACCGGTGTAATTTACATAATTAAGTTGATTCAAAGCATTAAAAATAATTGAAAAGTTGATTAAACACCAAAATGGTACATAAAATTTGCATTGGATTAATATATAATACAGCAGACATTTTAAGAAAACGTTCAGGTGACAGTGTTCACTTCAAGCAGTTACATTCCTGTTGTTGACATTTATGGGACCACAAGATCCTCCTGTCAGCTGGACTTCAGTACATTTATCTTTGCTTTAAACACAGATCTGTTTTTCAAATTTTACTCCAGGCGGAGATGGTGGTGCGCCTGTGGAAGGATGGCTTTTCTGTGAATGATGGGGAATTTCGCAGCTACTCAATACCAGAGAATCAAGACTTCCTGGATGCCATCAAAAGGGGGTGAGTGAAATTGTCACAAGAAACATGCACTATCCAAGAAGCAAAAAGTCATCATATCTTCAGATCAGGTAGGGTTGAATATTTACATTAAAGATGAATCCAACAGGTGAATACATTTCTGGCTTCCTATCATTTTCCTTCTGGCCTGATATAACCCTGTCTGTTCCTCTCACAGTGACATGTGGTTAGAGATGGAGCACAGTACGCTGATGTCAGTAACATATTACAACACATATTCTCTCTAGACGATCAAACGCAGGGCTTTGTTATTACTTTTCTGCCTGCTGTTAGACTTCATTACTAGATGTTTCTGTTGACTCTGGGTTGTATTAAAAATGTGACTTGTGTCAATAACAATCCAATGTAAGACATGATAGTGACTTATTCATATTATTTCTGAAGGTAATAAAACATTTTATTAAAACTCTAATCACATAATACCCTTTTCTTATAAAAGATGAGTGAATGATGTGGATACCATAAAACAGAAAGTTCTCTGACCCATTCATATGAGACTGATGTCACTGATTTGGATCTTTAAAAAAAGGGTTATTTCAAGAATTGTGACATCACAATGTCATCATGCACAAGTTCACCTCCCCAATAAATGTGTGTTTTTCTGAACAATATTGAAAGCCAGAAAAATGAAATTATCCAGAGAAGTAAGCACATTTGAGAAGATGAAACAAACAAGTGTTTTGGCATTTAAAATATAAAGGCATGTGGCACTGGTAGCCTGGTGACCTGGTGGTTTGGTTGCATGCCTTATGTGTGGAGGTCCACACAGGTGTGACCCACTTATGTGTGGGTTCATATTCAGCCTGTGGTTGCTTTCCCCCGTGTCATACATATTTTGTCTTTTGTAACCGACTTTGCCCGCTGTTCTGTCTCTCCGGTAAAGGTACTAAAAGCCCAAAATAAATCTTTAAAAAAAAGATATACTATATGTATATAAAATTACATTTCTTTGACATTCATTTGTGTGATTTTCAAAGCAGCTTTAAAAGCATAGACACAACCATAAACAGACACATGCAATTATTCTTATAAAAAATGTAGATTATAAACATATGAATGATCCATCAATTTTATATGAAATAAACAAATTAACTTATTTATTTATATTTTATTTTTTCAGAAAGCTGTGTAGTTTCACAGAAATTACTTATAATATATAATATATATTATTATACAAAACATCATATGCATACAAGTTAAGATTCAATTACAGTTCTCTTCTTATTCAAAGACTTAATACATTTGATTCTATGATTTTGTCTTTCCCGTCTTTCATGCCCCCAAGTGTTTAAGTACTATTTATCTAAGGTGTCAATAAAATATGAATTCCTGCCATCAATAAATTCTTTAAGGCCGTAAAGTCTGACCTGAGGTCATCCCGAGGAGATTAATGTTGCAAAGCCAAACTGAATGTACCTGAGGGCACGTAGTTTTTCCAATAAAAGACAATTTCTCTCAGGTCAGATGTAGCTGGTGGATGTCCACTCCCTCTATATGTAACTCAGATGTCATATTATGCCCATCCTTTGTTCGATCCTACAGGCAAAAACAGTCTCCAGGGGATCATGAGCAGTTCAGCTGTCTTCCTATAGCCTACAACCAGCATAATGCTCGTTAGTGTTCATTAGGCCTATTGAGTGTTCTGACTAGAGACTCTAAGCCTGATCTCAAACCTGTTCCAGGGAGCTCCCGGCAGAGTGGGAGAGCAGAGCAGAGGAGGAGGAGCTGGAGATCAGTGTGGAGGATCTGACCGAGGAGGATTATGTTCCCAAGAAAAAGGCCTTCCACCCCTTCAGCGGCAGAGGTTACAGACTTGGCAGGTAAGAGACAGTTTGTGTTGTGACAGTGTTAAACAATATATCTTAAATGTATTTGACCTTTTACAGTTATTTACATATATATGTCTTAATAAATGTCACAGATAATCAATGATGTAATAGCTGAGTTTGCATCTTTGTTGTCCAGTTGTGTCTGCTTATAGTTCCATAAGACACAGTACTGCTTTACACCACTAGATGTCCTTCTAAATCCAGATATTTGAAAACTGGAAAACAAGCAAATCTGACCAAGCAGTCCATCAACCTCATGAACTAGAACCTCAACATTTTCATAAGATCCCTTTATGGATACCAAATTCTCCAGAGCATTCAAAAAAATATTTATTTTCCTAACATAAATAAGTTTGGAAAAAAAAAGTAAACATTGCGTGTGCTCGCTCTTATAGTTTTAATCTAATTATTTATCCCTGTCCATTCCCAGTGTTGCACCCAGAGTTGTGGCCAGGTCACCATCTGTGCACGAGGATGGAGAATCTCCTCCTATTCCCATGGTAACACTAGACCACGCCCTTCCTGTCACCTCCCTGCAGATCTGGTTGGCCGACGGCAGGAGACTGGTGCAGAGGTTTAACCTATCGCATCGGTGTGTATCCAAGTGTCAAGGCCCTAAACACATCCTTTTGCATCATGCATTGATATCCAAACAGCCTGCATAGTCTATCTTGACATTTTTTATTTTTTTTTTATCTCTGTTGTGCTGTCTGTAAATCCCATAATCTCAAGCATTGCAGCTGAGAAGTAGTTCAAGGGATGACGAAAAAGATTTTTGTTTGTACTAGCTCTGGAGCTGGTGAGGGGGTTTTTAGAGGATTACGTAATGCTTTGTTCTAGTCTGCTGGAGTTTGAAGGCATGGTGCATGTTATATCCCCTGCCACAGTGCATGGGGCTGCAGAAAACATAATCTGAGATGTAGCAACGGAGTGGATCTATAAAATCCCCAGAGAGGGATTGCGTAACTGGGATGCAGCATTTATATAACAGAGTTTGTGGAAAGGATAGAGAGGGCTGAACCCCTCTAACCTTCAGCAAGTGTGTAAGGAGTAGGGTAGCCATAGGATCGCTTGTATGTGCTGGGTGGTGATTAATAATAGATTATGTTACTAGTATAGTGCTCCACAGAGAAATCATGTGCCACATGAGAGAGTAGAGAATTTGGATGGGCTGGGTTTTGCTGCTTAAAAGAACTAAAGCATTTTCTTAATCTTTGTATAATATGATTTTTATCCTTCTGTCCTAATCTTTTCTATCATTCCGTCTGTAATTTTCCTGCAGGATCTCTGACGTCCAGGATTTCGTCGCACGCTCCCAGAGGAGCTGCCCACCTTTCGTACTGACGACATCGCTCCCTTTCCGAGAGCTCAACGACAAAGATCTTAGCCTAGAGGAGGCGGATTTGGCGAATGCTGTCATTGTCCAAAGACCCCTGAACACACAGGCTCCGTTTGGACACTCCTGACTAAAAAAGGGCATATATTTCATGCATCATACCTCTTTTACCCACGCACACTGTCACCTCACAACGACCCCGATGGCAGACTAAAGGCCTCTGATAACTCATTAATCCTTTGTTTATTCTGCAGTTTGTGCGACATTTCATGATTGTTACCGCCTCTTTAGTTTGTTAATCTTAGTGGGAGATAATCTGCGGTCTAATGGAGACGTTGTCTGTTTGGGTGCTGCATCTATGAATGTGTTTTCAATGCTTAATTTGTCTTCTGGAGAACAATATTTACCTGTCAACACGTGTCCCTAAGTCCCCAAACTTAGGAAAAATAATGTCAAGGAAAACCAATTGTGTTGCCTCTGCAGATGGAAAACCATGTGTGTGGCCATTTATTTGTCTACTGCATTTCTTCTTCCCTCACACATTTACACACCACCAGCACCGCTAACCAACTCTCCAAAGTCTTCCCAAACTGTGATCACCAGTTTTTTCTGCACTATTTATATGAACAAATAAGGGTTTGTATCACTATGTTTACAGTTATTTTAAGTGGAAAACATGTTTTATTTGCACGTTTTAAAGAGGTTAGATGGGAAAGATGTCTGCTTGTTATTTATGCTGACCTTGCTGTTAATGTCTATCCATTATTTTTGCCTTAATTTGCATATTATGTGAATATTTGCCTTAATTCAGAATGTAATGTTTTTTTTTTTGAGTGCATCAGTTGAATACTGTGGAAGCCCTAAGTGGACATACATCTGTGCATTTGATTTACTCTGTTGTCCAATGATAATGAGTAATTTCTGGTTGTTTTCATGAGATCTTGACTTATTTATGTCTTTATCTCAAGATAACAATGTTTATTTTTCCCGTGACAACTTGTTAATTTTGCGATATCTTGAGAAAATTACCAAAATCAAATAGTTATCACAGGATAACCAGTGTTGTTCTCTCTAGATAATGAGGTGAATATGTCGAGATCAGAATAAAACAACATAAATTTACTCCTTATTACAGGAAACTGGAGTAAAATGAAATGTATTCAGGCATGTCCTCTAAAGGCTTCCGTAGAAGACATATCACAAATCAAGCAACAATAAAAAATCCTCTTCAAAATTCTGCACTTTTTAATGATTTCTCATTTGATGAAGAAAAAAAAAGGAATGTCATACAAATGGTTTGTCATTTTGAAAATTTGAATCCCGCTCAGCTGTGAAGCCTTCTGAATGAAATATTTGATAGTGAGGGGAATCCATCAGCTTCAGGGTTTTATGATGTCAAAGTGATTTTGTCTTGACAATGAGCAGAACATTGTTTTATGTTGTAATGCCACATCTGTGCCGTCAGCACAGGTTTATTTGGGATTAAGATTGGGGACGCAGGCAGGTACTAGTGATGTCAAGGAACCCAGAATTGGAGCAATGACGCCTTCACAATGTCTCTGCTAAGACATGGTACGGGGTTAGGTAAAGTTGAATCCTTGATTTCTTTTTTGGTGCTTCTTGGCTGTGGCATTAGAGGGTTTCTTGGGAAATGTAGGGACACGCATGCTTTTACATGAGCTTGCGTTTGCCTCTCCATCTCCGAGCTTTCGGCCTGGCCCCGGGAAGAAGGCGAACACCATTATCCATCTTCAATATTTAAAGCAATGGGAAGGAGGGGCAAGCAGAACAGGGGAGGGAGTGTATTTTTCTCAGGAAGAGGAGATGACAGCCTTAGGGCGGTCAAGGTCAGGTGAAGAAAGTCAGCAGCAGAACTGTCCTGAATATAAAGAATTACCTTTCTGAGAGGCCAAGTTGCACATTTTAGGATTTTTAAATGAACATGCAAGCTGTATGCATCACTTGGTTGGCAGCCAGAGGGGGTCTGGCTAAAGAGTGAAAGAGGGCACATTTCCTTTGTGCTACATATTTAATAAGGCTAAGCATGCAGGGAATTACTTTCCCTTTAACTCTCACATTTCCTTTCAGATTGACCCTTTTACTCGCGCAGCAGCCGACCTTTCATTTTGGACATTCCTCTTCACGCATCATCTGAAACATACCCATTCTAATGCAGGTCATATGCTTGACTTTTCAGCAGCCGTGTCTTTTCTCATTGTCAATAATGTGGTTTTGGTAGAGGGGTTTGCATGCTTGGAATTTATGAAGAGGTCTGGGTTCATCAGCCGAGGTCTCCACTACATGTTTGTTGTCATGCTCTGAAGACAGGCTTACTCTGGAGAGTAAACATCTTTCACTGATGGATGAAAGGACTTAGCGGGGAAAAAGGGAAGGCACTCAATATATCATAAGCCAAAGGGCCAATAAAAGTTACATTGCAAGCATGTGTACAATGGTAAGTAGTTCCTGAACTAGTTTGAAAGTAAAAGGCTTCCTCTTCTTTAAAATTCCAGCCTTAGAAGAACAACTTAATGGTATATTTTGAATTAATGTTGTTTCATAGAACTAATGGTCTGAATTAAAGCTCCTAAGGAACTTTTGGTTTGTATCAAATTCGGCGACCCCTGTGGACAAAATGGTCCCTCTAAAAAAGTAGTGTTTCTAATGAATAATCTCATCCTGTTTCCTTTTAACAGTGAAGTGATTACTCATCACCAATCATTGTCGTGGAATATAAGCTCCTGGCAAACTTGTCTGACACCTACCCAGTGGCAGAGGCTAAAGGCATTAGAATCTGTATAGCCAATTGAGATAATCACTCTGGTTGCTTATTTTGACATGCAAAGTCAAGTTACAGGCAAACTGTAGAAAATACAAGATGATGATGATGATGATGATGATGATGATGATGATGCAGTATGGGAAATATGTACAGTAGCTGGATGCTGGAGAGCTTCCTTGTTGAATTCTTTATGCACATACACACCTGTCTGGCTCCCTGATTGAAGAATAGCTCAGTTAATGTTTGATGACTAAAATGACACCTGACAGCATTACATTACACATTACATTACAGACATTCCACGTTGTCACGCACCACTTCATGAGAAATATTATGCATCATTTAGGGAGGGTTTTAAGTCGGTGGTAGGATGATGACGGTACACCAAAAAGGGATTTTAAAGATAGTCTGTAGGCCACTTTCATAAACATAGTTGTCACCGAGCCTAAAATGTTCATGCCAGAAAAAACACGTGCCACGAAAAGAACCAGCAGGCCTATTCACGCAATCCTAAATCTGAAATCAAGTGTTGAATATCATAGTACTTTTCAATAATTCATCTCATTCATTAAAAATTCCAACATCATTTTAAAATTCTGACAATACAAGGAATAATGAAGTAAATGTTTGTCTCGTCCCTTAAGGGTTTCATAAAAAAATGCTTGCGTCAAACCATCCCCTAACACGAAGCACATATTTTGTGGCCAACCAGTAAAAAGGCCTGGTGCCTGGTTCAACAAGACAATGACACAGCAAAATGATTTGCACTTATTTGTGAAAAAAATAGTTTCAGAGGCTCTGTGTCAAAGCCAGGCAGTGCTTGCCGCTATCTAATGTAGCTTGCAGGCTAACCTGTGACATTTTTTTTATAGCTAGCACATACTACAGAAGTCAGGGTCCTTTTCAAGGTTCTGTAGTCTACTCTGTACTGGAAAATGTAATCCTCTTCAGAATGAAATTATTGTCCATGGGGATAACATTATTTCATTAGATGAAGATTGGATTCAAGGTGAAAAAGCTAGCTCAGCTGCTAATGGAAAAGCTAAAGTTTTTTCAGCATACCGCTGTTACCGTGTTGGTCATCAACTTTTTGGTTACCGTAAGCCATTCCTCTTTTTGAAGCAGTTTATACTTTATTAGGGGAGTGAATGGTGAAAAAAAAGCTAAAACAAAGCTTCCCCCAAATTAAACTCTACATCTCTTCGTTCCCTCAAATGCATGCTATTAGACTGTGTCTACGGTGTGTTCTGCTGATAACTTTCATTATTAAAAATGGTTGTGGGAAATGTAGGATCTGGTGTTTTTTGGAGCCATGTCATTTTGTGGGGCTAAAAGCTGAGACTATTCTGCTCCTGCTGCTTCGATTTTGACCTTTAAAAAAGAATCTGTTTTTTGTTAGTCTTTCATGTTGGTGTAGCCTTAAAGAATCACAGGAGCATCCTTTTAAGTGAGCCAACACACACACACACACACACACACACACACACACACAACATTGTGCTTGATTGTAAAATGTCAATAAAACTTGTCAAAAGTTAACATGAAATACTGCTATGTAACTACTGAAAACAAATATTGTACTTCATACAAAGAGTATGATGATGATGATGATGATGATGATGATGCAGTATGGGAAATATGTAGCTGGATGCTGGAGAGCTTCCTTGTTGAATTCTTTATGCACATACACACCTGTCTGGCTCCCTGACTGAAGAATAGCTCAGTTAATGTTTGATGACTGAAATGACACCTGACAGCATTACATTACACATTACATTACAGACATTCCACGTTGTCACGCACCACTTCATGAGAAATATTATGCATCATTTAGGGAGGGTTTTAAGTCGGTGGTAGGATGATGACGGTACCACCAAAAAGGGATTTTAAAGATAGTCTGTAGGCCACCTTCATAAACATAGTTGTCACCGAGCCTAAAATGTTCATTTTAGAAAAAACACGTGCCACGAAAAGAACCAGCAGGCCTATTCACGCAATCCTAAATCTGAAATCAAGTGTTGAATATCATAGTACTTTTCAATAATTCATCTCATTCATTAAAAATTCCAACATCATTTTAAAATTCTGACAATACAAGGAATAATGAAGTAAATGTTTGTCTCGTCCCTTAAGGGTTTCATAAAAAAAAAAATTGCTTGCGTCAAACCATCCCCTGCTATAATCTCCCTACAGATGCACACAACACATGCACAGCCTAGATTGATTTACACACATTGTGTATGTGTGTGTGTGTGTGTGTGTGTGTGTGTGTGTGTGTGTGTCTGTCATACACCGTCCCGGCCGCTGCACGGCGCAGCTCCGTCACTGCAGACTACAAACAACCGGGAGTGGAGACGCGCAGACCATCTCCATCCTCCGCAGTCTCCTTCTCATCCTGCCCGGCAGACTGACTGGCAGATCACCGCACTGAGCGAAACTTACTTAGGCTACAAACCGACCCACTGCTTCTTCATCCACAAGGGGTAAGATGATTTCTGTGGGTTTTGCTCTTTAAAAAAAAAAAAAAAACAGGCGTTAGGGTTTAGGTGTGCAGAGCGCTTGTTTATGGATGCACTTACAGTAATAGTAAGATGAGGAGACAGCACTCTCCTGCGCGGGACGTCGACGTATCTTGCGCGCCTGTTTGCTCTTTTTTTAAGCTATTGTCAGCTGTGCAAATGTAGAAAATGATGCTAATCTAAATGTCTTGATACTTTTAGCAGGCTATATATTTGAAAATGTTGATTAAGAAAGAGTGTTTGTTTGTATAATTTCTTGTTGCATCTGTAGGCTATTCATCCTTCTTCTTTTTTTTTTGCCAATGTCACATTTGTGTGTTTTTGTGCATCCATTCAAAGTCTTTGTCTGTGCTCATGTGTTTTAGTCTGCATTCTTGTGCTTGTATGTCCCAACAACACATGCTTGTCATTGACTATGTGTGTATGTATGTGTGTGTGTGTGTGTGTGTGTGTGTGTGTGTGTGCAGCCAATACACATGTATGTTCTTTGCCTGTCTGATTTTGCCCTTCTCTCCTGGCCTCATTCCAGAGCACAGCCCAGCATGTGAATGGCGGCAGAAAGCGGCAGAGTTTTCACAGAGGAGCAGGAGGAGCTCCCCGGCCCCTGGAGCTGTCACTCATGTGCACCATGCACACACACACACCCGGAGTCAGAGCCACAGTCAGTTTCACCCTGTGACACACACGACAACCGCCCAGTGGCAGGCTCCTCGCACTCTCGCTCACACAAGGAGCCACAGTCACACACACTTCAACACTCCCTCACACACACAGACGCAGAAGTACGGCTGCCGGCTCACACACAGCCTCTCAGCCATGACCAGAGGAGAGAAGGGAGCGCAGGGATCTGCAGGGAAGCTCATCAAACCCACTGAACCGCTCTTTCCCAAAACCCCTCAGCAGGTAAGATCACCTGTTTCTTTTGGCTTATTT